TGACCTCTCAGAAATGACCTATAAATAAACTAATTTTGATGCATTAACATAATTATCCTTTCCAGCTGTGGTTAAAAAACATTATTTACTGTTTTAGTTCTTAAAATCCCTGTCACAATCAACAGGAACTGCCTTCCCTGGAATAAAAAGAAAGACAGCAGTTAATTTAGTTAGAACATATGAGCATTTAGCTGAGTTTGTTTACATTTTCAACCACAAAAGTCTCCTGAGAGACTGACAAAAATTGCCATAACTGACTGTTTTTCAAGTCATCCAGGCGAAATATTGGGTTAAGTTTTCAACCAGCAATGATCACGTCTCAGTTAACCTTCATAGACTATGATATTGCCTCTGCACAAGAATGTCCCATAGTGGGTGAACGTAAGCACAGGGCTGTAGTAACATTCTCAGCACGTATGGTGTACTTCTGGGCCGTTACATATCGCAGAGTACTTTTGAAATGCCTATAATAAAGTATGACATAATAAATAAAAATATATTTTTATGAAATTCGATCTTCCTTTGTTAACAAATTGAAATAACTCTTCTTTATAATTTGAGAAATGTTCTCGTAGAGAGACACGTGTTGTTCTTTTTTCAACCACCAGGTGTTGCAAAGATACTACCTAATCACAATCTTTGTGTTCTTGTGCATTAAAGCACAATTATTTCAGATAAAACCACTCAAGTTGGATTTGTTCAGAACTAGAACCTCAAATCTACGGACAATCATGCCACATGGGATTTCTCCTCGTCTAAACATTCTAATTTTCTATTTTTTATATATAATAATAAATGTATTTATAAACATTCGAGGCTGACCTGGTTGGCTTCTTAATATTGTACTTACAATTATGTAGAATACAGTAACATTTTAAAAATGTAAATCTTTCTTGTTGCTTCCTCGTCGCAGCATCAGGTGCTCAATTAAGTGAGCCGTTAACATGTCAATTAACAAAGCAAGAAAGGCAATCATTATTAAGTATTAGTAATTAGTAATCAAACTTTACTGAATGCGACAGCCGGATCCTGATTAATATACTGTATTTTGCTAAATCAG